TAGGAGCAGTGGTGTTTGCTCTGAAGATCTGGAGACATTACTTGTATGGAACGAAGAGCACTATCTTTACCGACCACAAGAGTTTACAACACATTTTCGATCAAAAGGAGCTCAACATGAGACAACGACGGTGGGTCGAGCTACTCAGTGATTACGAATGCGATATTCTTTATCAACCGGGTAAAACCAACGTAGTAGCAGACGCCCTAAGTCGGAAGGAATATTCTGGTCGTAAAATCAAGTCATTGTCAATAACCATCCATTCACACTTGTCTAAGCAAATTCAAGAGGCTCAACTTGAAGCCATGAAACCTGAAAATGTGACGAATGAATCCCTTAGAGAATTGGACAAGAATTTAGAAGCCAAGGGTGATGGAGCCTTATATTTCATGAACCGGATCTGGACACCGAAACACGGTGGTTTCCGAGACTTGGTCATGACCGAGGCGCACAACACTCGGTATTCCATCCACCCAGGTTCAGATAAGATGTATCTGGATATTAAAAAGCTATACTAGTGGCCTAATATGAAAGCAGAGATTGCTACCTTCGTGAGTAAATGCCTTACTTGCGCAAAGGTTAAGGTCGAGTACCAGAAGCCCTCTGGTTTATTGCAACAACCAGAGATCCCAGAATGGAAGTGGGAGCGGATCACTATGGATTTCACAACCAAGTTGCCCAAGACAACGGGTGGACTTGAAACCATATGGGTCATCGTTGATAGATTAACCAAGTCTGTACACTTCCTGCCTATCAAAGAAACCGACAAGATGGAGAAACTTACGAGAACATACATTAGGGAAATCGTACGGCTACATCGTGTACCTATGTCCATTATCTCCAATAGAGATAGTAGGTTTACCTCAAGATTTTGGCAATCACTACAACATTCCCTAGGAACAAGGCTGGACATGAGCACAGCCTACCATCCTCAGACTGACAGACAGAGTGAGAGGACCATCCAAACACTGGAAGATATGTTGCGAGCCTGTGTGATTGATTTCGGGAAAGCATGGGATACTCATTTACCCCTTGTCGCGTTTTCCTATAATAACAGTTATCACACGAGCATCAAGGCTGCTCCATTTGAAGCTCTCTACGGCCGAAAGTGCAGATCCCCTCTATGCCGAGCTGAGGTGGGTGATACCCAATTAGCCAGGGGGCAAGCTTCCGACAGTACTCTCACCGGTCCGGAGATCATTCGGGAAACCACATAGAATATCGTTCAGATCCGTGAACGATTGAAAGCCTCTAGAGACCGACAGAAGATCTACGCGGATAAACGAAGAAAACCTTTGGAATTTCAGGTCGGAGACCGAGTCCTTCTCAAAGTCTCACCCTGGAAGGGCTTGATACGCTTTGGAAACCGTGGGAAGCTTAATCCTAGATACATAGTGCCTTTCGAGATTCTCGCAAGAGTCGCCCCCGTAGCTTACAAACTCGATCTACCCGACACACTTCGTAACGTACATTCTACATTCCACGTATCTAACTTGAAAAAGTGTCTGTCCGACGAGACTCTTGCAATCCCACTCGACGAGATCGAGATCAACGAGAGCCTCAACTTTGTGGAAGAACCAGTAGAAATCATGGACCGAGAGGTCAAGCAAACAAAATAAAGTCGCATACCCATCGTGAAGGTTCGCTGGAACGCCAAGCGGGGACCTGAATTCACATGGGAACGCGAAGATCAGATGCAACGAAAGTACCCACATCTGTTTCCCTAATCCACAAGTGTTTTCTTACTTTAAATTTCGGGACGAAATTCACTCTAACGGGGGGATGATGTGACAACCCAATATTTCAACTCTTTGTAGTGACCTAAAAAGTCAAGTATTGTAACCACTTTTGAGTTAATAAAATTAACTTCGATATTAAAAAGTCCAAAAAGTTCCTATTTAAATTTCTCCTATGTTTAAATGTCATCAAACCATGATCGTACGTAAAAAGAACGCCCAAATCCGACTTCGTATATTGAAGTTATGATTTTTTGTCCAAGTTCAGCTTAGCAACAGACAGCTAAAAACTCGAATCGTAGATCGAGCGACTTTTGGCCGGAATGACCTAAACGAGAATCGAAGGTCTCGACAATGGTATTTCAGCGGTAAAAAGTCTGGCAAAAACTGACGTCAGATAAAGAAGTTATGAATTTTCAAAGAAATTCCTTAATCACGTCATTTTAATAAATAAATAATAAAAATAATTTCGGAATTTGCCAATGGAATCTAAATGAAAGTTGTAGATCGTAGTCTCACCTTCGCGGGGATATAAAGAACGTCGAAAACGGAGTTCGTATGAAGAAGATATGATTTTTTGAAGTTTATTTCATAAATTATAATTAAATTTAAATAAAAAATGTTGGTAATATCCGAAGGGGGAGTCAGCCTAGGGCCGAAGTACGCGCCGCGTACCCTCGTACGCCCCGCGTACTCGAGGCCACGGCCTCGGATCGTCCACGTCGCCCTATGCGAGCCTACCCCTCCCGTCCCGTCCGAAACGCGCTGCAGCCGAGGATGCGGTCAGCAGTGACGTCCCGTACGCGCCACGTACGGGAGTACGCCCCGCGTACGTGGGCCTTTCAGCAACCCTATAAAAGGGATGCGAAGGCTTCCGAAAATTTTGCTCATTTTCTCTCTTTCTCTCACGATCTTGCCTCGATTTCTGTGCCCGTTCAAACCCGAAGCTCTGGTCTTTTTGCTCAAGTCCCGAGGGTCGATTTTACTCCCGAGATTCCCGATAATCCCGAGAAAAATCCGTTTCCCGAGACGAAACTCTGCCCGGTTTTCGATCTTGCTATCTTCAAACTTCCAAGTGAATTCATACCCCCTTAAATCAACCTTTGAAATGATTTTAAATGTTTAAATACTTTATGGGGGGGGGAATACAAGTTAAATACTTATAGTTATTGCATCGATCACATGTGATTGCATTAATCACATGTGATTAATAACTAGGAAACCAATGATTTTATCACTGTTCAAACTGTTTTACTTCAAAATGTTTTACAAACTCTTTTACGTATCAAATGCTTTTATTTAAACTTTGTTTTACTACTTATAAATTGCATGCCCATATATGTATAGATATATAAGTAATGTTTAAAGGGCTTAGGAAGGCCATCCGCCCTATTTCCTTTTCGCGCACTGAGATGTGGTCTGGTGGGATTTCGGGTGACCATCCGAGGGTCGTTTCAATATTAGTTATATATCATATATACATGTATAGACATAAAAGTACTTCCATATTCATACTTATCAATACATCAATAGCTAGTTACCATCGGGGTAACACAGAACATATACAACTATACTAGAAACAGGACATATACACTATACTAGAAGCAGAACATATACGACTATACTAGAAACAGTATATATGCAACTATACTACGAGAACATATACAACTATACTAGAATTGAGAAACATTTCATTACATATACAAGAATACGACAACAATTGTGATCCACTGTATCGGAGCATGCCTTAAATGTCATGGCCCGAGTTGTAGCCAGAATTCTCTTGGAGGGAGAGCGTTGAGTTTGCGTATAGATCTATACTGGATTGACAATCCTACACCTTGCTGCTAGCTACAACCGGACCTGCAGGTCTGCGGGTGCCATACGTCATTCCGTTATTACGACCGTTCTTTATGTCGTTGTTATCAGTCGATAGTATGGTGCAATTATCACATTATACCTTAATATAAATCCGGTTTAAGGTAGTTAGTACAGCAGTAGTTCCTATAAAACAAAACTACAGTACTACAATGATTTACCCATTACATTTTGGTGATAACTTCACTTAAACTTTAATGTACAAACTATATTTTGTTAAAAGATAGTTACATTTGGGAAATTACACACTTTTACATCAAACGAGCATACAAAACAGTTAAGCCTTGGTAGAAGGCTACTTTAACAGAAAATATAGGTTTTTTCTGAGAGATTCAAACTTTTACAAACACTTACATACATTTACAACTCATACTTGCGACAGGATCAAACGTTTTGATGACAAACATCGACACTAAAACACTTATGAACTCACCAGCTTAATGCTGATAAACTCTTTCAAAATAACTTGTATTCTCAGGTCATCAGTTGACAGGTACCGATGCCAGCTTTTGAGAAGATGGAGCGCATTCAAGACTCATCATATTATTTTGATTCACATTATATTTTTGGTGTCTAAAACTGTACAGAACACGCTTGTATTAAAATTATATATTTAATGCAATGGATGATGTTGTTTGCATATTTACATTTACTGTGTTGTGATACTTTACATGACGTTCTCCACCCCAGAACGTTTCCGCCATTTGGTTTTGGGGTGTGACATTTGTCCTTTTTTTTTCTTGTTCTCATCCACCCTCTGAATGTGAGATCTACTTCCCCCTTAAATTCTGTTGTTTAGTTTGCATTACCCTTTCTAAATCCCATGTTAATCTTTCTATTAATTTGTTGTGTGAGTAAAAAAAAAGAACGCATGATTATCTTAAACTATAAACTCACGTATTCAGACCTACACTTTTAATGAACATCAAGCTAAAATCGTAAGTAGACATGTATTTCCATGGAATGATTCATGATTTGGTGTTGATCTCCTTGAGTAGCTGAATAATAATAGTCGAGACAGAATTTCATTAATTTCCCACAAGCTATCTTTCTTGAATCAAGAATTTAAAGATTTGTTGATGGGTGTTGGACCAATTTGTGTTGAATACAATTAATTAAGGATCTTGAATTAAAATGGGTACATGATTGTTTTACAAAATCTTGCTAATTAAATTCAAAAATATTTGCCAAGAATGGTTTTCAAATCTGCAGTATTTCCTTCTCCCATTTCAACTTTCTTCATTTGCTTATCAATTTCAACCATATTAAAGAAAAAAAAACATATGGCTATTTAAAAAACAATTTTGAAAATACAAGTTTGTGATGCATCATAATCTCTTTATCATTCTACACAAAAGTAACCTCATCCAATGACACAATGACACATCAGCCACAAGGAGTTAGCTTTGAATTTCCCGCACCTCGATGGTTGACATCTTTCCAATCATCAAAAGCCCTTGCCCTGTCCTCATCACCATCATCATCATCATCATCTTCATCATCTCCACCACCAGCTCTCGGCTTCCACTTGTCATTATGCCACGAAGAATTCGCTTCCTCTATCATCTTCGCAATCCTCTCTTGCCATTTATTCATCATATCCATCTCATTCATCCCAACTTCTTCTATGCTCATTGTTGGCAATCTTAAAACAAACATAAGCATTATTCAGCAACTATCAAACAACCCCTTACTGATTAAAACATTTTTATGAGAATTTTAGAAAGTGATGATACCTGTGACCAGGTTGGAAAACTTGTGCAGCAATCCTTTCCCTATCATTTGTTAGAAGAGTTCCACCACCCACGAGACTAGCAGGCCCAAACAAGAGTGGTTGTTGGTAGGCCTGTCAAATCGGGCTGTCGTGTCGTGTTTTTGTCTGACACGACACGACACGACAAGGTTTTTTGTAACATGAACACAACACGACACGATCTCGTGTTTTTTTTCACTAACACGAAAACGAACCAATTAAAAAATGACAACACGACACGACACGACAAAGATAATATTACATAACTATTATTTTATTTAATTCATATTTAATCATATATAACACGATAAAAACGACAAAAACGAAAACACGACAAATATATGCTCAATCGTGTCAATTTCGTGTGGATTTGCAAACACGAACACGACACGACACGACATCGTGTTTTTTAAACTTGACACGAACACGACACGAAAACGAATTAGAATTATGATTTCGTCCCGATTTCGTTTCGTGTCGTGTATTTTTGTCGTGTCGTGTCATAAATTGACACCCCTAGTTGTTGGTGTTTATGATCGTGCGGTTGTGATACATTTTCTCTTCCCTCCAAAACATCCTAAGCAAAAGTAGCACATGTTATCGGTGTTGCTGGCTTCATGTATCGAGCACGAGCTGCAGCGTTTCGATGCCAGTCTTGTACGGTTTTCGCGCGTTCCTCCAAAATAGCCTCCGAAATTTCAATACCTCCTTCCTACAAATAACAATAAAAATATTAATACATCAAAAATAAAAAAAGATGGAGATTTTATCTTTTTGGGAAATATTCCTCCGTACCTGCGCTTGGTTTTCCTTTATTGCCGAAAGCATCTCCTCCTCTTTCTTCAGCATTTCGATTAGATCCAGAGCCTATAACAGAAAGTGAAAAGGTGTGAATAAACAAATTGAAGCAAAAATCTGTTTCACCACATCACATGACACATTGACACTAAGGTGTTGTTTGTTTTTTCGTTACAAAAATATCTGAAGTCTGCGGACCACCTCTGCAACCCTCTGTAGCAGAAGAGGTGGAACAAACGGTTGCAGCATTTAAAAAAAATCTTTTTTTTTAACGTTTACAGACTGTTGCAGTAAGTTAAAGTAAGACGTGAAGAGGTTTGAAGCAGCTGGTTTAGCGCTACGCCACGCAGCACACGCGCATCAGTTTTTAAGTCAGAAGTCTTCTGAAAAACAAACAGTTGTGAAGGGCCAAGTGCTACGCGGCGCAGCAATAAGAGGCCAGAAGAGGTTTTTTAGAAAAAAACAAACAACACCTAAGTCACTAACCTTGCAAATAGCCAATGAGATTGTTGTAAGCCATGCCTATAAATTTAAAAAATACAAAATTTCAAACGTTAACATAATCAATCGAGTGCGTTCAGGAACTAAAAATGTGTCTAAAACCCACCTCCCTTTCCTCATCATCATCAAGCACATCATCATCATCCCTAGGAGAAAGAGTAGATGTAGAAAGGGGGGATGCAGCTTTAGTTGAACGCCCACGTCGTTCTTTACGTTCCTTTAATTCTAATAGTTTTGACTCTGCAGCATGTTGCCTCTTAAACCTAGCAATCTACAATCACCCAATTAAACCTTAATATTTCTAAAAAAAAGTTACTTACTTAATTAGTAGGAGGTAAATCTATATTACCTTCTTAGCCCTTCTATCTACAACACTATGTGTTTCCAATTCATCTTCAGGTACAAGCTCCATTGCATCACAGAATGCAAGAAATTCCTATACATTCAAAGTTAGGTATGTCATGTGTGTATGCATTATGTATATATAAACATATCTTAAATTGATAATAACAATACCTTTATCTTAGACTGTGAAACCTTCAAATTTTCTATCCTGTCATCATGCCCACTTTTCTCTATCAATTCAGCAATATAAAATGGAACCTATTCCCATAACAACCCAACTTCAAAACCCTATAAACGATATTACAAAAAGACAAGTCTTGCTATTGTATATACAACACAAAAATGAGAGCAAAGAGCTCTTTATCTTTTCATGGAGTTGATTGAGAAACAACAAAAATAAAAAAGAGACTAAGTCGTATCATTGATCATTTGATCCAACAACACATGAAGATAACTTTGAAGAATATGACATAAAATCTACGAAATAACACAACAGCACAAGCACATAAGTTCTATATGGAGAACAAACAAGGTAATGATGATGATAATGATACAAACTAGTATTTACCAGAATATATTTGAGATTTGTAGTACTGATATCTTCCTTAGTCTCGTTAGCTGAAAATAACCCTAATTTGCTAATCATTTCCTCGCACTGCTGTAATGCTTCGTAACCCTATCTCAATGTCTCCTATAAATAACAATAAAATTATGATCCCATAACATAATATACACATACATGTATATGAACTAGAAGAAGGAGAAGATATATGTATGAATACACACCTTGTGAACGGCAGAATCGGTTGCGAGAAGGTGAATTCTATGAGCCTGCTCGAGGAGTGTAGGCAGAGACATGTCTTCCATTTTGAGTGAAACCATCGTCGATCTCAAACTGTTGCAACCCAATGAAACTTGAGAAAACAAAATTCATGACAGAAGAAAACTATCTTTTTGTAGTTTCTTTCAGACATTTCATCAAACGGTTGCTTTGCATCTATATAAACTAGCCACATAACCTCGAACCAGTAAAGATTAGAGAACAACAAGAGTAAGAGCTTTAGGAAAATGAAAAAACAAAAAATATCAAGCAATTTAATCAAATGACCTGTAGTAATGCCTAGGGGTGAGCATTTGGACCGGTGACCCGGACCGGACCGGTGAACCGGACCGGACCGGACCGTTTTTTTGGACCCCCGGGCCGGTTCTTGGTTCTAAGTTTTCTATCCGGTCCGGTCCGGTTTTTTTCCCGGTTCGGTCCGGTTTATACCGGGTCCAGGACCACTTGGACATGGTAAAAAAAAAAGTTTTATCGGCCTTATTATACCAGCCTTAGCAAAAGCGACATTCCCTTTCCCATAACACGTAATAGCCGATAATTTCCAAACCAAAAAAAACCTTATTCGATGTCGATCATCTCAAATCGCAAATCGGCCCTTGTCCTTTTTGATTTCTGAATCGAATCGCAAGCAGCCAAGCAATAGTCGATGCCCGATAGTGGAGCCGCTCGTGAAACTCAAGTCTCGATTCTGATTTCTGTATCCTCAAGTCGCAAGTAGCAATTCATTTCTCTCAAGTGTCGATTCCGGATTCTCCCTCTCTCAAGTCTCAACTCTCAAGTGTCGATTCAAGCTTTCTGTGAAACTCAAGTCTCGATTCACAATTAATGGAATCAAAAACCGGAATTGCTAATTGGATTGCACTTGATGATGATGAAATTCAAGTAAGGGTTACGATTTTTGGTTCTTTTTTTGTTAAATTTTGTTGAAATAACAAACAATATTGTTATATTTAGTTGAATACTTGTCAAAACAAAATTATTGTTATTATATGTAAACTAAGGTTATGTTTTTTGGTTGAATTTTGTTAATATTTGTTGAAAATTATAAAGTATGTTGCTACATTTTGTTGATTAATTGTGAAAAAGTTTGTGTTTTGATTGCATGTAAACTAGGGTTATGATTTTTTGTTGATTTTTGTTAATTTTTATTGAATGTCATAAAGTATGTTGTTATATTTAGGTTATTTGTTAGTAAAAAAAATTTATTGTGATTGTATGTAAAGTAAGGGTATGTTTTTTGGTTGAATTTTGTTAACATTTGTTGAAAGTTATAAAGTATGTTGCTATATTTTGTTGATTAATTGTGAAAAAGTTTGTGTTTTGATTGCATGTAAACTAGGGTTATGACTTTTTGTTGATTTTTGTTAAATTTTATTGAATGTCATAAAGTATGTTGTTATATTTAGGTTATTTGTTGGTAAAAAAAAATTATTGTGATTGTATGTAAAGTAAGGTTATGTTTTTTTGGTTGAATTTTGTTAATATTTGTTGAAAGTTATAAAGTATGTTGCTATATTTTGTTGATTAATTGTGAAAAAGTTTGTGTTTTGATTGCATGTAAACTAGGGTTATGATTTTTTGTTGATTTTTGTTAATTTTTATTGAATGTCATAAAGTATGTTGTTATATTTAGGTTATTTGTTGGTAAAAAAAAAAATTATTGTGATTGTATGTAAACTAAGGTTATGTTTTTGTTGTTGATTTTTGTTAATTTTTGTTGAAAGTCATAAAGTATGTCGTTATATTTTGTTGATTAATTGTGAAAACATTTTTGTTGCGACTATATGTAATGTAGGATACGAATGTTGATGAAGAGGAATTTATTGAGGATACACCACAAATCAATTTAGTTGATGATTCGGCAAAAGATGATCAATCAAATGTTAACAAACGAAAAAGAACAAATAGCAAAACAAAAACAAGTCACAAAAAAAAAACAAACAAGTGGCAAAGAAACATCCTCTTGTTGGGACTCATTTGATAAAGTTATGATAAAAGAGGATGATGGTATGGAAAAAAGATATGGAAAATGTCAATGGTGTGAAAGGCTACTAAAGGCGGATGTGGAAAGGAACGGGACTTCTAGTTTACTCAAACACGTAGATCGGTGTCAAAAAAACCCGAATAAGCTACAAGATCCAACTCAAACCAAATTGAATCTAAAAAAGGAGTCAAATGGAGATACTAGTGTTAAAACATGGAAACACGATGATGCAAGGATCAAAAAAGCATTACTTAACCTTTTTGTGGTAGGCGAATTACCTTTCAAGTTCGTTGAAAACGAGGCTTTTGTGGAATACACCAATGCACTTAATGCTAAGGTTGTGTTGCCATCTAGACATACAATATCCCGAAATGTTTCCAAATTTTACATAGAAGAAAGAACCAAAATGCTTCATTTTTAAGTAACCCAAAGACCGCTATACATTTGACAACGGACACTTGGACGTCTTCTTGTCAAAGGACTACTTACATGGTGGTCACGGCTCACTTCATAGATGAGAATTGGATGATGCACAAGAGAATTATAAACTTTAGGGAGATAGATAGCCATAAGGGAGAGGATATGGGTCGAGAATTACTCGATTGTATTCGTGGATGGGGAATGAAAAATGTCATGACCATTACCTTGGACAACGCCACTACAAACGACAAGGCAATGGACTTTTTGGTCAAAAAGTTGCCCAATCTTTACGAGGGTGGAAAGCATTTCCAAGTTAGGTGTATGGCTCACATTTTAAACCTTATCGTAAAGGATGGACTAAAATACCAAAACTATCATGTTGAGTGTATCCAAAAGGCGGTACAGTACATTAGATTGTCACCACAAAGAATAAACAAGTTCAAGAAGGCGATGAAAGATTGTGGCTTACAAACGAAGAAGTTTCTATGTGGTGACACTCCTACCCGATGGAACTCGACTTTTGAGTTATTGAAGTCGGCATATGAGTTACGAGAGGCATTTACGGAATTTGGCATAAGAGGTAATATTTATTTTTAAGTTATATATCATCTTTTCAGCAAAATTATTAAGATTTTGTTTAGACTATAATTTTGTTTGTTTATGTATCTTTGACAGATAAATCATATGAAAGGGATCTCGGTAGAGTACCGGAAAATTATGACTTTGAAGTTGTAACCGAAATGGTGAAATTCTTTGAAAAATTCAAAACAAAAACAGAGCTTGTTTCGGCTACATCAAAACCTTTGGTAAATCTTTTTATCAGGGAAGTCTTAGATGTGGACATACATCTAAGAAAGTGGTCAACCAAACCAATGTTTCTCGATATGGTAAAAGATATGAGGACGAAATACGAAAAGTATTGGGGTGCATACAACAAGATGAATGATTTTATGTACTTTACGGTTTTACTTGATCCTACCACCAAATCACCTTTTTTGTTACATGCTTTTAAAAAAAATGATCGGGTACATGGAACCATCATTGACCTCCGCGAGCATGGACATAAAAGCACGTCAAATGGTCCGAGAGGTTGAGAATAGGATGGAAAATTTATTTATGACCTACTTGGAACGATTTGACAGCGGTGGATCATCTCAACAAGAAGCGAGTCAAATAGCCATTGATGTTGATGATGATAATGATTTTTTCGGTGATTTTCTTTGTACGGGAGGTAGCAACTCGGATCCAACGGATAACGAGTTACGAACTTATTTGAAAGAGAATATAGTTAATTATAAAAAAGATTTCTCAATTCTCGGGTGGTGGAGAGTAAACGCAATTAGGTTCCCAACAATTGCTCGGATGGCGAAAGGTGATTACTTTTTTTTAGACTTTCATAATTTATTTATAAATTTATGTTATTACAATTTAATTCTTTGTTGTTAGATATATTGGCGATACAAATCTCAAGTGTAGCGTCCGAGTCCGCGTTTAGCACATGTGGTAGAGTTGTAAGTGAGTATCGGACTAGTTTATCGATGTTGATAGTTGAAGCTTTGTTATGCACCCAAGATTGAGTGAGAAAGTTTACAAATCCGATAATTGACAACGTTGATGACATCTTGAACGATGATGATATAGCTTTGGGTAAAAAAAAATTACAAGCTTTGTTCTTTTTTTATACAATATTACTTTTTATTAAATACTAACAACATTTTCATTTGTGTTTATGTAGAGATTGCACAAGCTTTAAATATATATTACATATTGATGACAATGATAAGGGGAAGAAGCCAATGGAAGATTAAATTATGAGTTTATGAAGTTTGTTGTTTTGATTGCTTTTAAAGTTTAAACTTTAAACTATGTTTTTTGTTGCTATGGTATTATTTTTGTATGTTTGTGTTTAAATTGTTAACTTTTGTTGGTGAACTTGAATTATATGTTAGTTGTTTTTATTTGGAAAATTAAGTTTGCAAGTTATAATATTTTACATCAATGCAGATTACTTATACTCTATACAACTAAAGTGGTACCGGTCCAAACGTGTCCAAAAACCGGAAAACCCGGACCCGGACCCGGACACGGACATGGACACGGACACGATGCATCCGGTCCGGTCCATGGTCCACAATTTTCTCCATAACCGGTCCGGTCCAAGAGCTCCGGTCCGATCCAAATGCTCACCCCTAGTAATGCCAATAAAAAAAAGTCCAAGCTCATACAAAATGACCTGTCCCCTGTAATTAAAACGAAAAAAGTACAGAGAATGAAAATTACCTGGTCGATGCGGAGGTTAACAGTGGTGGTGGTGGTCGATGCGGCGTAGTGAGCTGAGGAAGATGATGAGGTAACGATGGAAAGAGGAAGCGATGAAATAATTGTGGTCAATGCTTGCCACTGTAAATAATCCGAAAAAAGCACTGATAGAATAATAAAGTTGCAAAGTCGATGCAGGTTAACGTTGGTGGTGGACTGGTGGTCGATGCGACGGAGTGATCCGAGGAAGGTGATGGGAGAGATCTATGGAAGCAGGAGGCGATGAAGAAATGGAGGGGTGTGATGTAAAAGATGGAGGTTAAAAGCAAAGATATTGTCAAGATTCAAGAATATCATTAAATT